ATAGTGCTGTCAGAGCCCGTCATGGGTTCTGATCCACAGCGCCATCCTGCTGCAATCCCAAAATGTCCAAAGCTCGCGAAGCAGCTCGCTGTCTGGCACTTGGAGCCTGAGCCGCAAGAGGCACCAAAATATCCCTCTGGCCCTTTCGAAACTTAGTCCAAACCATTTTACGAGGACACTGACTTCCTGTAAGCCGTCTGATGTTGTTGACACAACGCTTGCAATGCACACAAGCAAAACGCACCGTAAAATTGGCAGGCCACACAATGGCCTCAATCTGATGCGTGCTGTCTGCTGCAGTATCAGTGGTGCGAAATGCTCCAGAGTCGATGATTTCCAAAACTGTGCGGGCACCCTTCTTGAGGTCATCGCTGATGTCTGCATTTTTGAGGCACGCACGCAATCTTTCCACCAACTGCTTTCGTTTGGGCCCTTTGCTGGAAGCATACTGTTCACAAGCAATCTTTGCCAAACGCTTCGCTGTCAAAGCCATACTGCCACAAGTTTTGCAAATGACGTAAGACATTCCAACTCTTTTCTGTTTGCCATTTCCTGTGGCTGGAATGGTAACGAAAGTGGGGTCATGTGCTCCAGCATCGCCACGCTTGAAGCCAAGCAACCTTCGAGCCACTGCAGCTGCACGCACCTGGCGCGTGGCTTTGCTAGCATTCTCCCGTCTGAAGCTGCTGTCCTTGTGGAAGAGCTTGGCATCCGCCTGAGGATGTTTGTCTTCCCTATGCTTGCGGATGACGCTGTACACTTGGCCAGGTTTGAGGTTGTGATCAGCGGACAAGCCAAGTTTGCAAACAGGACACTTCCAGCTATAGACTCCTCCCTTCTTGACCGCAGACAGCGCAGGCAACGTGTTTTTGAAGCCGATTTTCAACTGTTCCTTCTCATCGGGATGCCAAGCATTGATATGAGCTCTCTTCTTGTCAACCCATCCTTTGCACACCCCAGTGGAAAAGTCACACAAAGGGCATGTCCACTCAGTACGCTTAGTGCGTCTGGACGAAGCACTGGCTGCGTCTTGTCCTTCACTGGCTGCACGTGGCGTGCACGGACCCCGACCCGAAGTAGCAGCCGCAGGGGAAGAAGAATTCTTGCGCTGCTCTGACAAAGTAGAGGCGGGCGCGGGGCTAGCACACCTTCCACGTTTATTGTTGCTATGAACCAGTGACGGCAAAGCTGACAATCTGGTGGCACCAACTGAAGTAGCGCCACATTCCGATCCTCCACCTCTGTTGCCCTGCATTGGACCATTTGCGGCCTGAGTCAAAACTTCAGGAGGGAAAGCACCTTCAAGTCGTTCATAGTGCTTTGAACGAAACCACAAAGCGATGGGAGCACCACCCTTGCCACGACCATTGTAAATCTCCGGAACCCCACGAGGTTGGAAGACAATGATCGGGCGATCGTAGTGCACAGCCGCAGCAGAAACTTCAAGAGCACTGCCCCAAGCACCAATCTTTGAGAGCATGGTGAGATAGCTCTCCCATGATTCGCAAGCATTCTCCGCCTCTGTTGGCTCCTTGCCGTCCCACCAGGGCTTGTAACGACCCTGGTGCTTGGTCAGGTGGGTGACAACGCTTGCACGCACATTCCTGGCTGTTTTTCCGCCCAAACTTTGAGCAAGGGCTTCAAAAAGACAGTTGCCGTCAGCAGGGATGCTTTTCACCTTCATATTGTGAGGGGGCTTGGGTTCCCCCGCAACACGCTTGGCCGGAGGACTCTTTTCAGGAGTACTGACAGTTCTTTTTGCCCCAGCGGGTTCTCCAGCATTGTCCATCTTTGCGTCCGACTTGTCCTCGTCCAAATTCTCAGCAGGAACCTTCTCAGCCCCTGCAATAGTCACTGGCTTTTTGACTGGCGTTCCCATGTAGAAAGATTTGCGAGGAGCAGGCGTGGCAATCGCCTGCCATGCATGGCTCTGGTTATAACTGACCCTTCCATTGCTAGCCAGTTTCATGGTATGTGTTCTCTGCCGTCTTTGTCTTGGAGCTTCAACAGCTACAATGACTTTTTCGCCAGCCTGAATTTCAATGAAATCCATATCCTTTTGAGCATTGGCCTGCACCCACCATTCCACTTGTTTGCCCACAGTTTTCCGGGACAACACCTTGAGTTCAGTCAGGCCAGCACGTGTAAGTTCCTGAGTCAAGGTACTAGCCGCCCAATCTCGCGGAACACCAGTGACGCGCCAAGCTCTGGCCTTAGGAGGAGGCTCGGCGCTCCTGGGCTTACGTACTCCCAGTCCATTCCATCCCCGGGCAATGCCCAGGTCACCAGCCATGGACTGAACCTTCTGCAAGTAGCTGGGCCCATCAAGTTCCGAACTTTTCTTGACCCACTCAACATCGCAAGATTCAATCACGGAGTTGTTCCATTGCAAAGGCTCCACAAACCAGGTACTTTTGCCTGAGCAGCCTAGAAGAGCTTTGGCAGCACTTCGCTCAATGCGTAAAAGGCCAGTGATCACTGGCTTGCCTCCGCCTTTCATGCTTTCTTGCTGAAACGCCCACATATCAAAGACTTTGTCCGCAACATGCTCTGGAACATGCCGATGCAACCAAGCCTGCGCGTTTGCCTTTGGCTTGGCCTGGATGCTCTGCCACTCGTTGTTTTGCAAATATTTTGCATCAACACTTAATCTCACTACAACAGTTTCAGGCTGCACTGCAGGAGCCGCTGACACAACGGCAGCTCTCTTGAGTGATGGCCCTTGGCCTTGAAGTGGGATCACAAACGCCTGCCTGGGCTGCACCTTGCCCGAGATCTTTCCTGGCACCATCCGCAAAGGTCGATCCTCCTCAGTCTGCTTGGCCTCTTTCGGCGCTAGCATCACAGCTGTGATGTTGAGCTCTCTTTTGATATCAGGGGAATCGCCTTTCAGCAAAACCTGCAACTCCTCAAGTTGCTCTTCCGAGTTCACTTGCACTGTAGCTGAAATATTTCCAGGCTTATCCAGTGCGACACAAAAGTCATCAAAGCCCAAAATGGGCCCCGTCCAGTCTGACTGACGCAGGCTCCACACCGGCTTAAACGCAGTGTTGGCTCGAACCACTTCAGCAAAGGTCTTGGGCGTTTTGTGGAGCTGCTGCTCTGTGTGTGGCTGTTTTTGGACGTCCGCCTTTTGCTTAGGATGTGGTTTCGAAGTATTCTGCGGAGGCTGAGTAGGAGGAGAAGAAGGGTAAAAACCACCCCCTTGGCCGTAATCCCCCAGACCACCATCACCGCCCTGTTTATTTTTGTTCTTGTTCTTAAGTCTTCTTGGGTTTGGCACACCCGCCATGGCCCATCATAGCACTGAGCTGTTGAAGCAAATTCCCACCGCCACCCCCGAGTCCCAACAATTGGAAAAGCTGAGAGAGTAGTTTGAGAATCTCACCTGCTTGTTGCAAATTGAAGCCATTTGCTTGGTTATTGCTTTGTTGCTGTTTCCTTTTGCGAGCTGTTGCTCTGCTTCCTGCACCATTGCCATGCATGGCATGCATCAATGCGTTCCGCTCTTTTGAAGACACAGCCCAAATCTTCTGAAGCAAATCGAAACTTGCAAGCACCACATCTGAACAATTCGTTTCTAAGCACTGCCAAGGCCCATCAGCAATGCATAGACCCGCAGCCACCGCGCGGAGGTTGTCCAGATAGCTGCTGAAAGGAGTGGCATCCTGGTCCAAGATCAGCACGACCCCAACGGCCAGTTTCATGGCCTTGTAGAAGGATGTCCCACGTGGGTTCGCCGAGATCTCGTCCTGGCGAGCACTTCTTGGATTTTTTGTTTCAGGAATTTCCCCCAAAAAAAGTAGATTGGATTCAATATCTTCATGGAAACTTGAGGCCCCGGGGGGGTGAGCGAAAGCTAAAGCTAAAGGTCATATGAATATGGAAATAGGTGAGCGGAACTTGGAAACATGCAGGGAAGTGCAGACGAACTCATCCACAGGGAAGGAGCCAAGATGGTTGCAAAGAATTGTGTAATGTCCAGCGTTCAGTCGTAGAACATGTGAAGCAAAGAACATGGTTACTGAAAAAAGTTGGGGCCTTATCCAGAAGTGTAATTGTTGATGGGGCTGAAATCCTCAACTGTTGATCCGAGTCACAAAGAATTCTATTGGGCCCACTGTCAAATTGTTAAAGTTTGGGCCCATCCAAAATTGTAATTTTGATGGGGCTCAAATCTACACAGTGCTGACCTGAGTCAGAAAGAACTCTATCGAGCCCAATGTTCTGGTGAGGCATCTTACGCAAGAATTCCATCCGAACAACATGCAATCTTTCGTTGCAAGTCGTAAAACATCTGAACCGAAGAAGATGGTGACTCTATAAAATTTGGGCCCCATCCAAAATTGTAATTTTCGATGGGACTCAAATCTACACAGTGTTGACCGGAGTGAGAAAGAACTCTATCGAGCCCAAGGTTCTGGTGAGGCATCTTGCGCAATAGTTTTATCGGAACAACATGTAATCTTCCGTTGCAAGTCGTAAAACATCTGAACCAGATGGTGACTCTATAAAATTTGAGCCCCATGCAAAATTGTAATTTTAGATGGGCTCAAATCTACACAGCGTTGACCTGAGTCAGACAGAACTCTATCGAGCCCAAGGTTCTGGTGAGGCATCTTACGCAGGAATTCCATCCGAACAACATGCAATCTTCCGTTGCAAGTCGTAAAACATCTGAACCAAAGAAGATGGTGACTCTATAAAGTTTGGGTCTCATGAGATAGGATGCCTGTCCAGATCTCTTTTTTCACCACCTTGTTTTTTGTTGCTGAGCAGCTGCGGCACGTTTCGGCTGGCATCAACTGGACAGCACATAAACTCAACAAATCCTAAGCTAGAGAGTTACAGAGGGACGGCCCTGGCAGGATTTGAGCCCGTGGCCATCTGCTTCCGAGACTGCTTCAAAATGCCCCGGGAGCTTAGGGGGGGTTCAAGTGAAAAATCACTGTGTTGGACTCAGACCTGCCTCTCCCCTTGCTGAAACAAGAGTAACTCAGCTAGCTACCGCTAGTTTTCGTGACCATGATTTGGGATTGAATCCAAACTTTAAATCGCCAAAGCCATGAGATGTCATGAGCACAGCACTCCTGCAGCTTGTGTTGATTATTTGCGTACGCACAGACCCAGTATGCTAGTCCCACGGCATTCCGCAGTTCCGCGTGCTGGCGCAGGCAAGCAACAAAGCGACACACGGCTTCTTGCCACGCATGGCTAACAAACCAGCACGGGAACTGCGTTTCTGCGTCTTTGGCAACTAGCTCCACGAAGCTGCACCTATACCGCAGGGTGGCTGGCTTTATGACCCAATGAGATGTGTGGTAGAGATTGAAGGTCTGCAGCTCCAACGGCTGTTCAAAGTTTGGGCTGCCAGAGTACCTGGGGTTTGACAAAGCTACAGTACGGAGCGAAAGTTGAACTTGAAACAAAATAAATTACATGAACTTGGCAGCTGTGGATATGCCTGAAAGCAACAACTAGGACCAGCTAGAACCAACTCCACTTATGTCAAGGAACGTCTCCACCCAGAGGTGCGCATGGTCACGGATGAAATCCACCAGCTGCGAAAGCTGCTTCAAGTTGATCCCACGGCATTCCGTTTGTGGGACGTTGATGGCACTGCTCCCCAAGGTATCATAGCTCACCAAGGTATACCTCAGTTTCCCATGTAGCGTAGCTGTGGAAGACACGACACGTCACCAGTCCAGCAGTGCAGTAAACGTCTTCGAAACCAAGCAACGCAGCAGCTTCCAGGGCAGTGCCTGGTTTTAAATGTTGGACACCCTGGGAAAGCACGGCATTCTCCCAGCCACCTGAGTTTCGGACATCACCAATCGAGCAGTCAGAAAAGTCTGTTTGGGAAACTGTCACGTTCTGGTTGATAACATCTAAGAATCAATGGCATGAGCCCTTCATGACTGATGAAAACCCCCCATGACGTTTGAAATGGCTCACCTGGCTGCGTCTTTTGCACAGCGCAAATGGCATCTTCCACCGTCGCGGGCAGTGGGCATGGGATCACGCCCGATGCGCCGGCGCCACCGGGGAGGGTTACGGCAGCTGTGGCCATTGCAAAAATTCCAAGGAAATCCAGCAATTGAAAAACTAAGCAGCTGAACACCTTGAATTAAATCAAAACGCTGCAGTCAGAGGGATATCGGAGGGATCGAGAACACTCTCTCGCAGCCGTGGCATGTGCAGATGCGAATCTGGATGAATCTGCTGGATTTGCGCAGCTGTCTAAGCGACTCAGGATGGAACTGAAGGATGAACTGCACATGTCCACCTTGCTGATGGTTTCGGGGAAACAGCACACGGATGAAGCTTAAAATCGAAGGACTGCTTTGCGGTTCCAAAAAGCTTTGGTGCCCTTGCAGGTTGAACTCTATCAAACCAAAAAATGAGCTTTGCCTAGTTTTGTCATGTCTTGTCTGCATAAGGGCTACTGTACCTTCTGCAAGAAAAATCCACCTTTAGCCCTTAATTACAGAAGATAGCAGAAGGTCACCTTTTTCTTATACAACGTGGTATCAGATCAACCTGGCAGGAAACCGGCAAAGCATATCATGGTGTGGCAAGATGAAACCGACCAAGGTGTTTCCCCACAATGTTGGTGAAAACATTGCAATTTTCCAATCTCTTGCGAGTCTTTTGCGGTGTGAAGAAATTTGTCAACACATGATCACAACGCACGCCTGTGCTGATTTATGTTGATTTTATCTGATCTACTCAGAGGGATGAGTGGGAAACTGAGTGGATGCCGACTGGGAAACAAATCACTTCACAAAATGAAGACCCAGCTGGTTGCTGTCCGTTTTTCGGTGGTTCTTCGACCACCTGCAGGCATGAAAAATGCGTTTCGAACTAGTTGGTCAGCAGAATGCGACGCTACTTGGCAATAGATGGGATCCCTTATTGGCAATCGCGCTACTGGTACGAGATCTTGTCCCAGGGCCCCAGGAATCCAGATCTCCCGCCTGTCAGGTCTCGTTGGCGACAACATGGCTTTCCGATAGAGCTTCTGCAGCTGAATGCAATACTGTGACGTGATCATTTGCATAAGGAGTGTATCTTTGTCACGTTAGACTCGTGATGCAACACTCACAGCTACCTGTAAGACTCGGAGTCTCTGCAGTTGAAAACAATGCCAAGCTTGGCAATTGTCATTGCTTGCAGCAAGAATGTCTGTGTGGATGGCTCTGTAGGGTTTCTTGGTGCTTTGTATGACCTTATGAATCTGAAGTCTTTTTCGACATTCTTCGACTATCCAAACAGATCGACAACTTCAACGACCTTTGAACTGCTCTAACACTCAGCGCATGACTCAAACTCAGTCAACTACGCATCAGTACCACTTGTTTGTGTCTGCTCAGGTACAACCTATGTTGTGAAGAACATGTTCCTTGATCTCTTTTGGATCTCCATAGGCCATAGACTTAGAAGTAAAAAGTGTTGTGGGTTTTACTTTGGGACTGTTTCAAAAGCGATTGGAATGGATCTCTGAAACCATTGCGGTGTGTCAAAGACACGCTGCAAAATAGTCGCAGGAACCAACAAGGTGGTACAATCTATGAGTCCGGTGAGCACAATACTCTCATCGAGGAAAGGCAACAAAAACCGAAACCAAGAAATATGATTAGTTTCAATTGAGTCCAACCAAACCCTTCACTCCGCACCCTACCAGGTGAGTTTTGAAGCGCACTGCACTGCATCACAAATCACCAAACAAATCACTCCAATCCGGGCGTCTCAGGGTCCTTGCCGTGAAACCTCCGAAAAGTGAGAGTGAAACCTGCTATCCAAGCGCGAACCACATCGTAGCTTCATCTCAAGAACTGCTTGGAGATCTGGATGGAAGCAATGTACAGTGTACATGCCAAATGCTTGTGAACCACGATCAGAGTCCAAGCGACTGAAAAAACAGGAGTTGCAGGAGGTTTTCCTCCGATGCCGGGCAGAAAAACCATCAGTTTCCCTTTCACTTCCTGCATGACCTGGTGGCAAGACTGGGATGACTTCCAACAGCTTGGGACCCATATGGATCTTCCTTTAAGTTGGGCCCAAAGACCCAAAGAGTTCCAGGCTCAGAAAGCAGAAAAATATGTGCTGACTTTTGAGTTCTGTCCACTTTGCTTCTTAATTTTCCCTTCACCAACTTCAGGTCTCCACCCGTGTCTTGGTGAGAGTGCCAAATTCCAGGTGTTTGGAAGACCATCGCAGTATATCGCAGTTGATCGCATTTGAAACAGGTGCAACCTACGAAACATGTCAAAAAAGTGCTTGGTTTGGGTGGTCCATAATACTTTGTGTATAGATTTTGTAACAAATGGGACAAAACAACGAGAACCGTTAAAAACGTAAAACGAAGTGTGTAAAAACATTAGGTTTATAATAAGAGGAAAGAATGCAACATAATCTGAAAGCAAGGAGAGAAGCAAACATGAGTGGGTGAAATAATAATTACTTATATTGCTGATAAATTGAACCTTTCACATCTTTTTGGGGGATGACTATATAGATTATGTGAGTCATTCTGCAGAACGGCACAACTAAACACAACTGGCCGAGGGGCAATCCGCCACCAGGATGCGAGTTTCCAAACATGGAATCTTTGAACAATCATACTGTCCGTGTTTCAGCTACTTGAATATGCATCAAGTATTGTGCGCAATGTGCCTGTGCAACTTCTCGGTTGGAATGTAAGATATGTAAGGAAGCATAGCAACCGTGTGCACAGTTTGCTTCCATGAAAAAGCGGAGCCTTTGGTATGTCAGACCTAAAATCCATATGGAATCGCATGGTGTGCGCCATGGTTGCAAACATGGAGGGATCAAAACATTACTCGTGCGCACTGTGAAATTCTTGAATGCACAATCTGACATCGAGCTACTCAAGTAAGTCGGGACCTCGGGTTCCAAGTGCTAGCTGGATGTGAGTATCACCTCAACCCGGCATGCCTAGACCTCAAATATGTTGAGGATCATGTGCCTTGCAACGTGGGGTGACGAAGATTTCATCGGGCGCATAGCAAGATGCGCCCACAAGGTTCAAAGGGCGCGCAACACCAAGCGTTGCCTAAACACAGGGATCAAAGGAATGGCTGAAGGTCATCCCCCCTCGGCTCTGAGAGCCCCAACGGCGAGAAACAATGTGTGCGTGTCCTTGATCAAGGCTGGCTGACCGAGGTGGATAGGTTTTGATGTGAAATATGGTACTGCACCAAGCTATGTCGGCAACTGATACGTGAAGTTCTTTTCTGCGCTTGCTGTGGCGCTTCCAAAACTGTGGTTGCAAAAGGGCCAGATGCACTTCAAGCGCCCCGTCCCTAAACATTTTTGCAAAAGCTCACGCCCGACAAATGATTCAGCAGCGGAAACGAGGAAGAATTAATGCAAACGCTCGCAGAATTCCAAGGGTTGTAGTGCAGCCAGAGTCTCCGGAGTTGATCAAGGCCTTGGAATGTCCCCGCGGGAATTGTGGTCAACTGGTTGAAGCTCAAATCGAGTTTCTGCAGTAGACCAAGGCCTTGGAAGGTCCCCGCAGGAATTCTGGTCAACTTGTTGCCGTACAGATCGAGTTTCTGCAGTTGACCAAGGTCTTGGAATGTCCCTGCAGGAATTCTGGTCAACTGGTTGAGGCCCAGATTGAGTTCCTGCAGTTGACCAAGACCTTGAAATGTCCCCGCAGGAATTGTGGTCAACCAGTTGCCGCCCAGATCGAGTTCCTGGAGTCGACCAAGGCCTTGGAACGTCCCTGCAGGAATCGTCAACTTGTTGTCATTCAGATTGAGTTTCTGGAGTTGATCAAGGTCTTGGAATGTCCCCGCGGGAAATGTGGTCAACCTGTTTCTGCCCAGACTGAGCTTCTGCAGTTGACCAAGGCCTTGGAATGTCCCCACAGGAATTGTCGTCAACTTGTTGGAGTTCAGACCGAGTTTCTGAAGTTGACCAAGGCCTTGGAAGGTCCCCGCGGGAATTGTGGTCAACTTGTTGCCGCCCAGATCGAGTTCCTGGAGTCGACCAAGGCCTTGGAACGTCCCTGCAGGAATCGTCAACTTCTTATCATTCAGATTGAGTTTCTGGACTTGATCAAGGTCTTGGAATGTCCCCACGGGAATTGTGGTCAACCTGTTTCTGCCCAGACTGAGTTTCTGCAGTTGACCAAGGCCTTGGAATGTCCCCGCAGGAATTCTGGTCAACTTGTTGCCGTACAGATCGAGTTTCTGCAGTTGACCAAGGTCTTGGAATGTCCCTGCAGGAATTGTCGTCAACTTGTTGGAGCGCAGATCGAGTTTCTGAAGTTGACCAAGGCCTTGGAATGTTCCCGCGGGAATTGTGGTCAACTTGTTGTCCTCCAGAATGAGTTCCTGCAGTTGACCATGGCCTTGGAATGCCCCCGTAGGAATGCTGGTCAACTGGTTGCGGTCCAAATAGAGTTTCTGGAGTTTACCAAGGCCTTGGAATGTCCCCGCAGGAAGTGTCGTCAACAGGTTTGATTCCAAACTCAGCCATCGAAGCTTCTTTAGTCCTGCAAAGGTAGCTGGGTCAATCTTCTGGAGCTCATTTTTGCTGAAGTGGATCACCTGCAGCTGTGCGTTGTGTTTGAAGATGGCCCCGAGCTCCTCTATGCGATTGCCCTTCACGATGACCCTGCCCTTCTCGTCGTGTTTGCCGCCCAAGAGAAGCTGCTCCAACAGCGGCAAATGTCGCAGCATCGCAGCCGAGAGCTCGGTGAGCTGGTTGTCGCCTTGGTCGATGCCAATGGGTGACACAGATTGAATGTCAAACTGTTGTGTCAAAGAGAATTAAAAGTGTTTGTTCAAACTGTTCAGCTGCTGACAGGTGCTGACAGGTGCTGACAGGTGTCTCATCGCCAATAGTTTCAGCTGCTCCAAGCCCCGAAAGGAATCTTCGTGAAGTGTTGCCAGCTCAACTCGGGTCAAGTCCAACTGCTCCAAAGATGATAGACCTGAAACATCAATGTATGGCTGTTACAAACATCACACATTGTGTCATTGCATGACTGCTCGAAGCCTTTGCAGAAATGTTCTTTGACCAACGCCGCTCAAAATTTCCTGCCTTCGAAGAGGCCCGGAGGCAGATGGATCAAGCTGTTGTTCGCCAATGACAGGCGCTGCACATGTCCAAGTGAGCTGAAAGCTTTTGGGTCCACGGCAGTGATGTTCTTCGCAGCGAGGTTCACCTAAAGTCAGCGCATATCCGTAAGCATCCAAAAACAGATGGGTTTGTCCGAAAAGATTGTGCCTCAATATTTGATGGTTTATCATGATTGTCACCATTGAATGACCATTTTGGTGGTCTACCGCGGTCTCGGTCTACCCCATTTTCAGACACACCCAGAAAAACAAACCGCCGGTGATCCGCCCGGCCTGCTTCTGTCTGAGGACGGCTGCAAGGGTGCAGCTGTCAATCTGTTGGCCAGCTGAGTCAGCATTGCCAGAGCAACGGCACGGAAAACACCTAGGAGACACTTGTAATCCCAGTCCACAACCTCTTGTTAGATCTTTTCATGAAGACCTCCAATGACAAAAAGATAAGCAGATCCCTGAGACCTCGACCTGAAATCCTATCCATGGGTCATTGGAAAAACGTCCTGCAAAGGCGCTTGAACAAGTGTCGTCAAATCAAAATCACGGCTCGAGGTCACTAATGCAAATCTTATGCAGCAGTCCTGCGTCACAAGGAGAATCACCAGCATCGAAAGGAGCACAATGGAAAGGGAACACCCAAATAGTGTTGGAAGGCATCTCCGTTTTTGGCGCTCGCCCCTGACATGCTGTTTGCTGAGTTTGCTGTTGTCAGTTCACAACGAAAATGTCATCTTTGCATGGCAAAATCTGGCATGGCAAGCTGTTTAAGTCTTAGTGTCGAGGCCTGGGTCGCACTGGCAAGCTCCAATTGGTGTGCTGCAAAATGTGTGCAATGCAGCATGCGTGTGCTACGTTAAAATACACGGCGCCATAGCCCAGAAAGTCAGTGGGAAAGGCGAACACAGGGCTGATGCGATTGCCTCAGATATCCAAAAAGTTGCGGTGAAGATCCCACCCGGATGGCGTCGCTATGCCATGCGAAACAAGGCGCTTGAGACGCTTGAGACACTTGAGGCACTTCACTTGATGCCGGTTGACGCATTGACTTCATTGAGCTTAGTTTCTGAACTTCAACGTCAAGTCCTCGCCAAAATTTCCCCAGCCTTCGGAGGCTGTCTGCAATCGCAGCATGGCCACCAAAACCTTGCAGCAATTACACTTTTGCGTTTCCCGACTGAACGCCATCTGCCAAGCCATCAATGAAACGACGTTGAAACCCGTGAGACTTGTTGCCATACCCAGGTAGGTCAAGATGTAGCCAAGGTCCAGAGCAGCATCCATAAATGCTGCTCCAATTCGAGCCCAGGCAGTGTCAGGAAACATCAGAAGAAAGGCGGGATAGAGACTGTTCCAACAGAGTAGGGCAAAGAAAGCCCAGAAGCCGAGACTAAGCCAAAGAATGGCAGTCGCATCTTGTTCTTCTTGGGCGAAGGTAACGAGGCCGCCCAACAAGGAGATCTTTCCCAAGGCCTGCACCGCAACGGTGAAGCATTGGAAGATCGCCACCTTGAAGGGGTAGTAAGCTCCGCGCAACCCAAAATACTTTTCCTCAGGAAGAACACCAAGATAGAGCATGGAAAGGGGACCTTGAATCAAGTGAATTCTTGGATCCTGCGGAAAGCGTTAATAATTTTCAAAAATGCGGACCCCCTTTCATCCATTGTTGTATCACAATTTCCCGGTTTCAATTTAGACTGGTGGATGTAGATAATGTAGGCTTGCATGACCTCTATCGAAACCTCCTTCGCAGAACACACAAAAACGGCATCTGCCTAGAAACATAAAGCACCTCCGTGGGTCGCGGCCTCTTCCGACTCGTCTTTCGGCACAACAGCTGTAACAGGAACACCACAACCAGGACCAAGTAGGGCAGGGCCAGAAATGCAGCCTCAGTTCCCGCTTCTTCATTTTGTAGTTTCAAGAGGAACACCACTGGAACTTGGGTGAACTTACCATCAAACGACACAAATGAGTTCCGTAGCACAACAAGTATAATTGAAAATATCAAGAATGTGAAAGAACTCCCACACCTCTAAGAACGTCTGATTGGACTCCTCGGTGTCCAGCAGCAAGGCATCCAGAAGGAAGTCGGACAGACGAGAACGGATCCTGCAATGCATCTTGTCAGGCTGCGGCCTACGATGGAATTTGGGTACCCAAGGTAAACATACAAAAAGGATCAAAAAGATGTGGAAAAACTAATATAGTGGCATGTTCATGGGTTTTCCACATCTGGTAACCATACAGCAAAACCTGTTGATAACCAGAAAACATGTTGCTGGGAGGTTGGTTTAAGTTTAGTTGGTTTGTTTCCTCAACCTCTAGTAGTCCAGTCTCCTACGCATAGCGGCATGGCGATTTTCATCCAGTTTCATGGCCACAAGGCACCAGGGTGGGAAAAGACCGAACAGTCTCCTGGGAGCGTAACGGAGGAAATATTGGACGGCCATGAAAAAGGACACGACCAACGCCACAATCTGCAAGAAAATGGTCCCTGCCATGGTCAAAGGCCCGACACTGGATGCATCGTTGCAAAGCCTGGCACGGCGGCATGGCACTGGATGAAACGATCCAACCTATCGACTTTGGACAAACATGTCATGGTCAAAAGCCGTTTCATTCGGTTCCTTTGGTTCCTTTGGTTCCTTGGGTTCCTTTGGTTTCTGATTTCTCGCCTCAGTGAAGTTTCCCATTTTGATTTCACGTCATCCAACAGCCCAAAATTGTCCGCCAACTTGGTCAAATCGCTCAGCTGATTCTCGAGCCTGCTCCAAACATGGAATGGAAACTTCAAACTCAACAACATCAACAACCAAAACACTCAAGACTTCTCAGAAGTGGTTGTTTTCGAGCAGGCACGTCATAGCTTCCCAGAAACTATATTTTTGAGAGGCAAGTCGCTCAGTTCCATAAATCATTATGAAAGAACGTGACCTTGGCAATTTTTCAAGAGTGGTGACCCTCCAAAACCCATGGGGGCATCATCATTTTTCCCTTCCAAACTGGTGATTGTGGGTTCCCAACTTTGAGAAAACACCTTTTTCCTGTCATCTATGGCGTGGCCTGGTCAGAGTGACATCCATGAGAAACACGGAGGAATAATAATCTTCCACCTGCAGAACTACCTGGCCAGCGGAAGCTTCGCAGATGCAGATTCCATTGCCAAGTTCAAAAATTAGATGATTCTCAAAACACCAACCGCGTTTTATGCCTCAATCCAATGTGGGGGTATGGGAAGACCATGTTCATGATGATAATGATCACTTCGCAATTTTGGGCAGGAACTCCATCTAAGTCAGACATCTTGCGGTTTCTTTGTGTCACTCAAGGCGGGGCCTGACAGCATTTTTGGCCACTGGCCCCGCTCATCTCGGCGAAGGTGTCCCGGACAGCGGCGATCCGCACACCCAAAGCGACCATTTCTTCGCTCGCAAGGCGGTCCTATCCGGAGGCGCACTTTGGGTAGGCCACATTAGATGCCTTGTCTACTGTAGGCTGTAGGCTACATTAGAAACCAGGTTAAAAGATACAAATGTTTGAAACCAGATTGCACACCTTCTGGTTGAGTCAGTTTATTCATGGAGAAGCAAAATGGACACTGAATCCCTGTGCACCTCGAGGCCCTTGAATGCTTCCTGAACGGATTGCATGTTTTCGCACATCAATTCACATCGAAGCGCGTCCAGAACTTGTTGTGGGCCTTGCTGCTCGATGTAGCTGGACGAAATTGAAAATGTGCAGGAAACATCACGAAACCATGATCATGTCTTGGGATTCTTGGGGGGTGAACTGTTTTGGATTAATCCGAGAAAGCAAATATGGATGAATATCGGGAGGTCCCTGCAAATCATAAATTCATCTAGTTGGATCATATTGGATCATCAAAACAAACTTCACTGGGACAGCCCCCAAGAAAACATCTGCTTGCAATAATATGCATGATATTGAATATTGCATGATATGCATTCTGCATCTCTCAACTTGTACACGCGCACCTGTGAAACCTTCTTGAAGGGCGCCACATGTTTGAAAGGATTGTTGCCAAAAGAAGTTGAAAACAGGTGAAACCTTCCAAAAGAAAAAAATCACTTGGGTCTGTATAAACAACTCAAGGACACGACGTTATAATTTGGATAGCCTGTCCATGGGGCACGAAGAGAAGAAATATCATGAAATATCTAGATACTGGCACCAGCACGAGAAGCTGCTAAGATGGTCGAGTGGCTTCGCTTCTCTTCGTCGCTCAAATTGGTCAGCAGCTTCAGCTTCAATCTAGCGTCCGGCAGCGCCACATTCATGGCTCTCCTGAGGCAAAGCCATGAGGACGTGGAAGTTTGCGACGTGGAGAAGCTCTCAACAAAAAAACAAACCCCAGGAATACACGAGACAAGGCACCGCAGTAGAGGGAGATGTTGTTGCGCATCCAAAAATATTCCAGCCCTGCAGGCACGCATTTTGACTTGAATTCAGTCAAAACATGCAACAGAAACAAGCAAGGCGTGCAGACCGAGCAAATTTGTTAAGGTCAGCATGAAGGACTTAGCTACTCAAAAGATGTGCATGCAGGAATGGAATGGAATGGAATGGCATGGAATGGAATGGAATGAAAAGGAATGGATGCATGTCAGCACAATCACATGTACAGAGCGAAGCATGAGGAAGTTAGTAGGCGCATGTCTCATGTTGCTTCCAAGACGCAAATCTTCGCTTTGTTGACGTAGTTCTCGAGGATCTGCATAGCCGCAGCCCATTGTAGGAACACGGAGCATGACGCTCTGAGTCTCTGGCAGCTGAAGCACCTGCCGTGTCACCATGTCTTGACAAGATCGGTTCTTGGTTCACATGAGTGTCTGAAAATGTGACCCCCAAATGGTTGCTTTAATAAGGAAAAAATAGGAAAATGATGATCAATGATAATCCAGTGGATTTAGGGGTACACTATTCTCAAACAAAGCCACATCATGTTCACAACATAAGGGGCTCGCCTAGGTCCTAGGTTTGCCCTTTCCTTGCCTTCCTTTTTTCAACCAAGCGTGGTTTATTTTGACTCATCGTGTTCTTGTCTCTCTTGGTTTTCTTGGTTTGACTTTCGATTGTCTCACTTTGATTTCTGTTGGGGATAAACGTGTCAGAAACCTCTCAAAGAGACATGCATACATCATACATCTTGTGAAAGAACAAACACTGCAAGGATTCGAACAGGGCACCTGGGAGTAACTTGCTTCTGTTGCCACCGCTTCCTGCAGAATTTGCGTTCTCACGGTGTCAAAGCGAATGCTCGTCGTCACGATGCTACCTGGGACGTTGGGACCCGGACCCCGTTGCCGGTTGCTCAACGGCACCATGCTGCGCGCACTGCTGAGACATCTCCAAGTCATATGGATAAACATCCGCATAAACATGGTGGTTCGCTCAATTGCAGCCTGACAATTCCTATGATTTCCTATGGTGTTTTCGATGCGTCGTGATTCTGATTCTGATTCTGTACTGTCTGGATTGGAAAATTAAAGTACAAGCAGTGCGACTGCAAGATCTGAGTCACTCAGCACTATCACGGAGAGCAAAGTGCAGATCGCAGCCCATGGAACTCCCAAAGACTCTTCCAGTGACAAGCAGGCAACAGGGTACCTGCCGTGAACTCAGCATCAAAGATGACCAGGAGAAAACGGGATACCCCTAAATCATCCTAAATCCATTGGTTCATGATAAGTTTCCCCATTCAAATAGCCGTAATTGATGGTATATGGTATACCGTATACCCCTTTTCCGACAAACCCAGTTCAAAGATGTTTCAAGTTTCAAGATGGCCAGCCCTCACAAGTCTCGGTGCAACTTAGGCACAGCGACAGCAGGATCACGGCAAGGGTCGTCCGCTGCTGAATCTCAGCAGCAGCCTGCAATGTAAAAAGTAAGCTGAGTTCGGCCCATCGCCAAGCCTGGCAGGCGACAAGGCTAAGCTTCCGCTACATCGCAAAGGCGATCTAAAACACAAAAAATCTTCCCCGAAATAGATGGAAAAGTAAAATTCGATTAAAGTGAAAAATTGGACCTGTTCTATCTTTTTGGGGATGCCCGTAGATTATGCTTAACTCTGCAAAACATCATAACTAAACACAACTGGCCAAGGGGCTGTCCGCCACCAGGATGCCAGTTTCCACCAGTGTCGCAGTAGCCGATGTTTAGGGCAAAAGCCATGAACGTTTTCATGGAATTCATGGCATCTGCTGTGGCTGCATGGAAAGGCTCGCCCTCCACAGTCGTGAATGGCGTCGTCAAAATCTACGTAGTCCACAGCCTTGCTACCAACCAGCTCCACCTCCTGAAAGCTGACATGCTGTGTGAAACAGGTCTTGGAGCTACCATGAAAACAACATCCAAACAAAATTGATGGAGTGTTCTGTTTTTTCGTTCATATAGATTGTTGTAAACAGCAACAGGTCAGTATTTCTTTTTTCCCAAACAACACAACAACACTCCTTGTGTTTGAAAAGGTCAGTGATCCCTTTTTTCCCAAACAACACTCCATGTGTTCTTTTCATAAGACCTCCGGATCGGATCCTGGACTTGCGGCTGACATCCAGACCAAGACCATGACCACGAAGGTTCAGCAACTCCCTTGCGTGAACTGTGAACAAGAACATGACAAATTCATGAACTGATCTGATGTATTTAAAATCTGAGTGACATTGATGAACTATGATAAACTATGATAAACTGACTCATATTTCAACATTTTAAAATTGTCTTGGCTACCTAGGTTTCGTGCATTAAGTCACACCAAAACAGCATTAGGAGCTCCGCAGCCTCAATCGTCAACCGAAGATCCAGTCCCCTCCTAGCTCTCTTCAGTTGTTTGACACACTCATACCTTGCTGGAGCCGTGTCACATCGTACGAAATGGCGACTTGGCCCTGACTACTCAGCTACTCCAAGTTGAACAAGAGGGAATTCACGGTGGGGGATGTGTACTGTCAATGTGACAATGTGGCATTGAATGCAGCGGAGGATCAACGACTGCTTTGCTTCAGGAGGAACTTGGCCACAGCGCTTCAGCTGTAAAACCAACTCTTCCAGGTGCAGCTTTGTGAGCGGCTCCCATGAGCCCAGCTCCACCAAGGACCTGAGAACTGTAATCGAAAACTCCATGTACATATTACGCATGTGGTGACATAAATACATATGAGATACGATGCAATGGAAATCGCAATACACATGATATCCACAATCGCATCCGCATCCACAAAAACTCAGCTGCCAACGGAAGGTTGGAAAACCACAGCTGCAACGACTTCAGCGACCGTGCGAGGCACTGCTCTGTGTCGAGCATCTGTGCCAAGCCGGACGCATCTGCCAACCTGGAGCCCGTGAAGCGCAGGGTGAGCTGCTCCAGTGGAGGCATCTCCTGCGAATTCGACGGAATGAGAAACGCACACATTACCATTCCATTACTGTACATCCAATTGGTATCTATTGGTTAAAAGTTAAATCCATATTTGTGTATCCTCAATCCATGAAATCCATAGTTTAGCCCTAGTTTTGCTGGTCAAATCCATTCAAATCCCCGACTTATCTCATCCCCGACTTGGTGACAATCCTTCAGACCCCAGTGCCGGATGGTGCCAATGCCACCCGCGGCGGCCTCCTGGACGTTCCATGATTGGACCCCACTAAAGGCCAAATCCAAGCGAAGCAAACGCAGCTGCCTGCCGTTTTTCCCTCTGAAAAGCTGGTTCACTGGTGGAAAATCTTCGGAAAAACATGGGTTTCCCGCATCAAATATAGGGGTGTCTTAAGGGATTCCCTTAAATCAATTGAATGACTGGTTAATTTGCTATGACAACAATCGCAGAATTTTTCGAAGAATGCTGTCTTCCATGATCAGACTTTCAACTTTCCTTGTGCGACATGCTGGAACCCCAACCCGAAAAGCCTCGGCAAGTGATTCAGCAGCTGCTGCAGCGAGTCATCCCCAAAGCCACGGCAGCCTGTGAAGGACAACTCCACCATATGCCGTGAGCTGGCGGCCGCCAGGGCTCTCCGAAGGTTGCTGGTGTCGTGCCCCTGCGTAACGGCACCAAACCAGGAAGCGATGGCAAAATGCGCGGCCAGGGCCTTGTTCCTCAGCCCATCTTGGGAGCAACATGACGAAACTCACTTCCCAAGAGATCAAAGAACTCAACAGAAACAACTTCCCAAAAGATCAAAGAAACACATCCCAAAGAAATACGCTGCGCCACTCGTTGATCGAGGCCCAGCGTCACAGCCGAATAATTTGGATCTTGAAGGGGCGCGACGTCAGTCAAATCCTCAGGTAGATGGAGGGTGTCCGGTCTACGTCCATCTACATCCAGGTCAACCCATGTGCCATTGATATCAACCATGAATCATGTGCACATTCGATCAGTGACCCAGACAACTCAACGTTTTACCTCGCATTTCAAATCTGACCATCTTACTTTCCGCTTAAACTCTGCATATGCACTGAGACCTCCAAACAATAACAGAAAAAAATCAGAGAAAAAACTGCACACTTGAGATATGCTTCGGCATGCGCGACTATGAATTTCACATGGAGAATCAATGCTGTACGTTCTCATTTGTGGGCATGCAAGCCATGCACCGGACCTGGCCTTCGTCCTTGCTTGCGGCAGTCTGATGCAATTGAGGATACGGATCTTGTCCTCTGCTTTGCTGGCGTCAGCCTTTGAGATGTCGACGCTGAGACCCTGGCCACGGCACACATCGGCACTCTGCTGCGCTGGGGTACATGATTGGCAGCGCCCTTTTGATCCTCGCACAAAAACGCCTACGGTAACATCCATAGTTGACACATGAATTGGACATGTATTGCAACTGACATGACATGAAGTCTTTCCATGCCAAGACATGCTAAACTGCTTAGACATGCATTTGTACTGCATATCCATGCTATGTTCCATGGAGTGAAATGTTGTTCACCCCGCCTCAGTCAATTTCCTTCGGATTTTGACTGAAATTTAAACTTTCAATCCAACAAGGCTTTCAGCTAAGCCTTCACGGCAAAGGGCTTTGGATCGCATGTCCATCCATTTCTCCAAAAAAAAAACTTCTATACACAGCTTTGTAAGACCTTTCAAGTCTCACCTACATCGGTGTACATCATTCCATGGGCTTCTCTGATTTGCCCTTCAATTTGCGCCATCAGCAAACTATAGTTGTGAATCTGGGCATCATCCCATTCACATTCCAGTCTTTCGATTCTGGTTCTCAGCACACTAGTTGTTTCTCTCATAGCTTGTCTCAGTTCAGGCGGCAAAGGTGAAGGACGAACTGCAGGATCATCTGATAGAGGAGACTCTGATCTTTCTCCTTCTCCATGATCATGCTCATCGGTCCAGGGTGGCCCATAGTGGATGTGACGCCAATACTCGTCATCTGAAACTTCACACATCTCACTGTCCAAATAACGGCGACGTTTCTCTTGCAGGGTTTCAGCTTTTCCTTCATATATTCCCCAACCCATTTTATACTCAAGTATATCCAAAACTTGATGCAACTTTTGGTCCATGCCTTTGGCGAAGGTCTCGCCTCTCGCAACTCCCAGTGCAAAGCGCAAGTAGAAGCAAACAGCCAATGCACCACAGAGCAGCGTAAGCAAGGTTGCTATCATCACATTCTTGTAGTCCATGAAGCTTGAGCTCGGGCTGAGGTCAGCTGAAATTGCATCAGTAGAGATTGCCATAGCCATTTCCGAAGGACTCAAGGCGAGAAGGAGGATTCTCAGAAGTTGTTTGGGGGCGCTATATCCTTGTTCTTTAAGAAGTCGAATACTGGCCTTCATGTTGTCCTGTTCTTGTATCTTGTCATAGGCATTCATACCAACAAACTCAGAGGTGTCCATGTTGTATACTTTGCATAAACACATGAGGTATTCCATTCTATCCTTTGCTAACCGTTTGGTCCCCAAGTCTGCAGGGTTCTCACGGCTGGGAACTTTTGAAGGAACTAAACCTTTCTCTTTCACTCTTTGCTGCATCCACAAAACACGAACACTGATATGACGAATACGTCCTACTCCAGAACGTAACAGGAAGGATCTGCCTGCTGAGTTGTCCATCTTGATGAAGGTGACCACTTTGTTCTCTCCTCCAACAATGAAACACAGGCAGTATTCCAACAGTACACCATACAGTAAGTTCCCAAATAGGAATATGAATCCAGAAGAAACTGATTTCCTGGTTGAGCGGTGTTTCGCCCAGTCACTGTCTGAAAAGACTTCCAACGTGTAGTCCTCAGGGGTGTAGTGCAAAAGTCCATGGTGACCTTTGTAAGTCAAAATAAGACAGTTTTCCATGCATCCCAACAAGTACATACACAAATGTCGCAAGCATGCAAACGAGTTCACTGTGGGCTTTGACATCGACTGCGACAACGCACGTATGCTGTATTGACATTCGATGTAGTCACTGGAGATATACAAAAGAATACCAATACATGATCTATATATCTTTGCATATTGGGCATCCAACTCTTTGGAGTTGTCGGGTTCATCCAACAGTGGGTGGCCAGGTGTCTTCTTTGGCATCAGGCTGCGTTTGATCTTCAAAAGCTCAAACAGTTTTTCAAGGTGTTTCGGGTGGCTTTGTATAGCTAGCTGGTTTGGGCTGACCATCACATGTTTTCTCTTCAAGAACGTAAGTTCATCACCCTCGTTGCAAACTACATCCAACGATATCTTGTACTTGGCACGCAAGGCTGGTACCAACGTGTTGTTCAGGTAGTTCTCTTTCACCAAGCAAAGAACATCATCGACATGCAGCAGCAAGACGCATTCTGAGTTTTCAGCTCGAAGTAGGCAGGGGTATGCATCACAAGGGGTGATCTTCAGCTCATCACGCAAGAAACTGCTAAAAGCATCGTGCCACATCTGTGACCCATTCCTCTGGCCTGGAAGCACACGGCCAAGGACAAACTCCATGGTGGCACCTGAAGCATCAACGCATGTAACCTGTGTGAGTTCTTCTTGAGGAACCATAAGAAAAGCATCACCAACATCTATTGAGCATAGCACATAGCCATCAGTCTTCCACTTCATGAAGAGCGTAGGCAGTAACCTTGTTGTGATCACTGAAGATGCTGGTGAAAACAAATCTTGTCTATCTGGACTCAACCAAGCAAACTCACGTGCTACGTATCTCGATCGACGTAGCCAAACTCTTTCTCCATCTATATGTTTGTCTCTCCAAGCTCTCACCATCCTTGTTGTCAGTCTTTTGGGTGCTTGACCTTTGTAGTCAAAGCCATCAGCAGGAAGTAAGACTCCCATTGTTTTCAACCTGGAGATTTCAAGGTGATCGGCCATGGTGTCAATTCGAAGTAGCTCACTTTCACTAAGCTGAGGTTCAGCTGTGGAGTAAGGAAAACAAAGTTGTTTCAACAAAGCAGCATCACTGACATCATCACTTTTGTTGTTCAGCTCTTCGTCCAACGAAAAGTCATAGGCTTCCAACTCATCAACCTCACAATCATCAAATGTTGTGGGGTGCTCAGCATCCTCATGCTCAAAGATAGCTAGTATTCTAGCTTGTTTCGAAGGTCTCTCAGACTCTTCCGATGCAGTCTCAAGTGGGTGCACGACACCTGAAGAAGTGTCCATGCCTCTCGAAGGTGCTTCCAAAGCACTGCCTGCAGCATGTGTTGCTCCATCCAATGGAGTTGAAGGAACTTGCAGTCCAACTGCACTTGGAAGGGACCCCGCCTCAGCAGCTTGTCCCATAGTCTCATCCAACGCATCACCTTCCAAAGCTGGTACGCCAGAAACTGGAGCAGGCAAAACAACAGGTTTGTGTGGCGCCTCAACTGGAGTGGGCGGCACATTTCTAACTGCTTCTGCATCTTCATCCCTGAGAGGAGCTGAAACAAAAGGGGCTGGTGTTGGTGGAGCAATCCTCTTGGCCAAAATCAACTGAGAACCTAAAGAGGCATATGAAAATTGCCAAGGGCAGGTCTCCACCTGACTCATCATCTCACCATTCCACGCATTTGGAAACCTTCTGATACTACGTGTCACAAACAGTTGGTTGTTGCCAGGAACTGCAACGATGTTGACATCATTGTTGATTGTTTTCCCAAGCCAAATGCCTTTCGTCCACTGTGGGGCTCCTTTGGCTGACTGTCGTAGGTATCCTAAGACACATTCACCAAACATGGCTACTCGACCACTGTAGGTTCTATCTGCACAAAGTTCATAAGCAGTGTGTCCCTGTTTCACAACGTACCTGTTATGCAACCATGCCGCATGAAGAAGTGACCATGAATACAAAGGGTGTTGACATCCAATTGTACCTTCTGGGATTCCACAGCCACGTTCCAGTTGCTGTATCAGCAGATTGGCCTGACGTCGAAGCAGCTTCACTGTGACTTCAGCCGCTCCGTTTGAAGCATGGCTGCCAGGGGCAACGGTCTCAACAATTGTTTTGACTCCCAAGCACCTACATGTTTTCCTCACGGCCTCCAGCAAAGACAACGTCGAAGGTTCCTGATCGCACTTTAATGAAATTGTTTCATGACCAAGCCAAAGTACGAATCTGCAAAACTCCGTGCATAAGTGGTTGAGCCAACGTCCACCTTTCTGGGGTGTAGGCACCGTATGCATGGCACCAGTGTGCCTGTCATGCAAGAAAAGTGCACAAATTTTGTCATCATCATCGTTTCGTGCAGCATAGCCAAAGTCGAAAGAAATACAACTGTGGCCTGAGTCGACATGTGGTTGAGGTTCATGTCCATCTTGCCTGGCATGATTTGCAACACAAAGTTCACACCATGCAGCATATGGGTAGTGCACCAAATTGTGCTGGGCACGTTGCGTTTCCGTTGGTTCAGCAGGAACTGGTTGGCCTATAGCTGGTCTCATCTGTTCACCTTGCAAGTTGCGTTCTGCAGAGTGAGCTGCAATAAGTTCTTGAGCTTGCAAGTGTTCCCAAAGTCTTTGCAATAGTTTGACCTTGCCTCCTCCCTTCGAAAGTCCAAGGGCGTTGCATGCACCTCTCAAAGTGTTCAGCGATGAATTGCTGTCCAGCTTCACTCCATCTATCAAAACTTCTCTAACTTCTACACCAACTTCTCTATCAGCCACTGGCAATTCTTGTTCATCAGCGGCAGCAGGAACAGGGTCAGGCGCTGCACTGGCATCAGCTGCAGGCCTGGGCACAGATGAAGATGGAGCTGAACTGGATGAAGCTGAAGCACGAAAAGAACTTGAGAGTGCAGGTACAACCGCGTCATCATAAACTGAAAAACCAAGGGCCTCAGGTGGAACAAACTCCGTGTGGGCAATCGTGATCACCTCCACAACTTTCTTTGCAGACTCAATTGGACTAACTCGTGAGTCCATTTCTGAAATATTTTCACAAAACTCATCCAAGTGCCATGTATCATCATCATGCTTGACCAATGTTGTACGCAACCACAATAGTGCATCACTCATGCAAAAAGTCGTATCAACATGTTGAGGTGATATACTACGCAGTGCATAAACATTTTCAGAAAGTTGAATCCAACCTCGACCAAGACTTGAAAGTGGTTCACTCAACGCAAGGGCTCTGACGTGTTCCTTGCACTCTTGGACAGTGGGCGTTGAAGAATCGTCCACAACATTCAGCATCCTAATGCTACCATGTGCACAAAGTGAGTTTCGTTTGAAATGAACTGGTATGCTCCTGCCAGCTCTCACAAGTTTCATAGTACCACCATTGTTTTCCAAACACCATCCATCCTTCAACAGTCTACCCATTGAAATAAGTCGTGAAGTGACAGCAGCAATAATGAAACGCTCTTTGAAACGCACTGATCCTAGTTGGACTTCAGCAATCCTAGCTCCCCGCACATTTATTGGCTTACCTTGGGCATCAACATATGCAGAGTCCTTGTGAAAACTTTCATCGTGCAAACCAATGTGGGCATATTCAAGTGGTAAAACCGAGCCATCAGCACCAGAGTCCAGCACCACCTCCACAGGCGTAGGGCTGGTAGACCCAATTGCTCGAATACAGTCCACTTCATCAGAAATGCAAACATCACTGGAAAGCAGGTCAAAGCTGGGTGAATTGCAAACAGTCCATGAATCATCATCGTCGCTATATGAAATATCAAAGTGCACAAAACGCTCCATGTATGCTGTGTCGGCCATGCAAAGGTTGTCATCAAATGAAACTTCAGCATGTGAAACCATGTTGATGTTGCCACCAGCATCATAAACAGTGAGGTCGCGCAACTCAAAGTCAGAATCTTCACTGCAAAGCTCTTCGATCACAGGTGAGGCCATAGCGCTAAAGAGACGCACAGCGCTAGCACTTGAAGGCAAAGAAGTCGAAGCTGTCGAAGGCGCAGCATTCAACTTCCAACAGTCCCTTTTAAAGTGACCATACTTGCCGCAATGCAAACATTGGTCATTCTGGGTTGCAACACGTTTTGAAGTATCTTTGCCAACACCTTTTCCTTTACCCTTATCGTTCTTACCTTTGGACTTCCCTTTGGAGGTATCTTTTCCTTTGGACTTACCTTTTGACTTTCCCTTCTTGCCTCCTTTCTCAAAGCGATCTATCTCCATTGGAGCAACGCCAGTGTAAGAAGGCTGAACAGGCTGTTGTTGTGGCAAAATGCCAAGCTCATTGTGGATCTTTCCAGGGCTCCATGTTGTTGTAACGGTCTCGTAGCTAAGCACCAGGTCTCTGATTTGGCTGTAAGTTGAATTCTCACTCATCTGCAGCTGGATGTGCTGTTGTATCCCTTTGGGAAGAGCTCGAACCAGCACACTCAACATTATGTTGTCATCCAAGTCAGTTCCAGAGGCACGCACATACTCAGAGCGTAAACGCTCAAGACCAAGAATCTGATCCAAAAGTGTCCTGTCCTTGGTGGTGAAGTTGGGGATGTTCATGAGGGCTGACAACAGCGATATAGACCTAGATTTCGTCTTGGGCAGGTACAACTGAATCAACTGTCTCCAAACTTCAAAGCCATTTCGCTCTGTCACCTGTCGAAGCAGTCGAAGAGGTTTTCCTCGAAGAAGACCTGTCAAGATACTGTACAGTTGTTTGCATCGCTGTTGCACCTCATCAGGTTCACCAGAAACAGCAGGAATAGGATTTGCACCATGCAGCTCAGTTCTATGAAGATCTTGTTCAAACAAAGGGTTCCCATAGTACAACCAAGCTCGAAAATTCACTTGAAAGTCCTGCCATCGTGCCAAGTCGTCCTCATGGTTTTCACTACCAAAAGGCTCAGGAAGACGGACAACTTTTGATGCCTCCTGGAAGCTTGATCTCGAAGATTGTTGGGCCTTCAAGGCCTTTGTGGCTTCAGCTGCAGCATTTGCAGCTTCAGTGGCTGCCTGAATCAAGGCTCCCAAATCATCCGCAGAAACCGTAGTGCCAGCCATGGCAACAGGTGGCTAAAGAGCCAAGCAAAGACTGGCTAACGAGCCAAGTCTGAACGGTCCCGTGGATGCCCTAGGCCCTTTTGACCTTTAGGGCTCCGCTACCATGATTGGCAGCGCCCTTTTGATCCTCGCACAAAAACGCCTACGGTAACATCCATAGTTGACACATGAATTGGACATGTATTGCAACTGACATGACATGAAGTCTTTCCATGCCAAGACATGCTAAACTGCTTAGACATGCATTTGTACTGCATATCCATGCTATGTTCCATGGAGTGAAATGTTGTTCAGTACAGCATGACCCGTCTGCTTTCTTCACTGATGAGCGATTCCGAGGGTCAAAATCCGTGCTAGCCATTTGCCAACTGTTTACGAGACAGAAAAGAAAGATCCGTCAAAAAAAAAGGAAAAGATCCCTCTTGGGTTCGACACAGCTTGAAGTCCGCCTTCTGCGCGAGCAACGTGGGAAAGTTCGCTTCGCGCAAGGCCTTCGTCAAAAAGCCCAGCAGCGGCATCAAACGCGCCTCTGGGGCCGCCAGACCATCAGTGATCACGTGAGCCTCGGCATGCCAAGTTTTCCAGATTTCTCGCAACTGATTCTTTCCATGGAAAACGATCATCTCAGGGCCATGGCCTCATTGGAGGAGTCGGTGGCGGCCACATCCAGCAGCAGTGGCGTCCCGGTGTTCCGCTCTTCAACCTGGACTTAGCAGGCTCGAAAAACATCACCGGCTGATAGGCACAGCCTTTGATTTGAGTGATATCTGCCATATTTCAAAACCACCACCTATGCACTTCCTTCAAAAAACAAGGTGTGTTCTTAAAACAAGGTTTGTTCTTTCATATTCTAATCCTGCTAGTATTTATCATATTTGTATATTCATCAAAAAACAAGGTTCGTTCTTTCATGTTTTAAGCCTACTAGTATTTATCATATTTGTATATTCATCAAAAAACAAAGTTCGTTCTTTCATGTTTTAAGCCTACTAGTATTTATCATATTTGTATGTTATGTATTATATTTGTTTATAACCTTCTGGGTGGGGGAATGGCTTGAAGAATTTCTGCTGAACATTGGCTGGGCCACTGCAATGCTTTCTTCGAAACAGCACCAGATCCTGGTGAAGGGAGTGGATTGGATTGGATTGGAGGAGGACGTCAACCTGCTCCTCACCGAAGTGAAGTAGTTAAGACGCCGAAATTGCCAACGCAGAGCCGGAGCTCTTTGCACTGAACAAACCGGAGGGCAAGTTCAAGCCAAGAAAAGTACCACCCATGCAGCTGAAGAAGCAGCAAACGCTCATTCAAACGACCTGTTTTGACGTGGTTCGTGTTCAAGCAAAACTTGCCAGTAGGGAAGAGAACCCTTTAGTTGCGCCTTCCAAGCTTCTCCAGCCCAAACAACTGCCTCTCTGTGTTGTGACAAACAAGTAGCAATCACCTGCCGAAATTGACCTGTAAGATCAGCCGCGCTAGCATCCGCTTTGGCATTGAGCATGCGGCAACGCAAAACATCAAGCCACCCTTCGGGTGGGCGCCATCGAGGAACTTTATTATGCGAGGGAATCCAAGCACAAGAAGAGCCATCAACCAAAAGCATCCTGATATAATGCCAGTATGGAAAAAGATCTCCACCCCACTGACCAAGCCGCATGCCACGATGAAGACGTTGCACAAGAGCTTGGTTGTCAATCAGCAAGCGCACCGCTCTGTTCGCTTCATGGGAAGCCAAGCAGGCTTGAAGAAGTGCACCTCTCTCGCCCGCAGCAGGAGTTTGCTCGAAACCATGCACCAACCCATTGACCGTGGGCCCAAGATGTGCCGCCACAGCCCAGCTGGCACGCTGCCAAAGTTCGCACCCTGGAGCGATTGCGCAACTTCCATCCAAGCCCAAAGTCGGCGTTTGATGTGGGTCAAACTGTTGTAGAAAAGCCACCAGAATGGGGTCGGCCGTCATATCTTCAAATGGAAGAACAGCTGGAGCATCCACAAGAGGAACAAGCAACCGCCTTTCAGTTGGAGTTTTGAGATCACCATGCCAAGGATTTGCCTCGCAGTAGAAAGTGAAATGCTCACGATCAGGAGAGCTCAAACCACAATCACACTGCAAGTCGACTTCCAAACGTTGAGTAACTCTCCCATCCACTGCTGCACCTGTCAAGACTCTGCGACCACAATAGTTCAAATCATGCGCCACATTGGCCTGGAATTGGAACACAGGCAACTTACCTTCAGGTAAAGGACCCTCCGTTTTGGTGTCCTTCGTCCACATAAAAGCCAGCCATGCTGCAGCAGCAGCTTTGTATAAGCTTGAAGAAGACATCCACCCTGGTTTCAAAGTCCCCACGGGAGTGATCCACAAACCACCCTCAACACGCCAATTCCAGTCTTTGCAAACAGTATTCCACCTTGGGCCTGGCGAAACAGCGGCGGGCACACCTATGGCCAAGCGGCACTGGCGCTGCCATTCAGCCCGGGCTGCAGCAAAGTGAAGCGCAAAAGCAGGATGCAAACGCGGTGTGCCCAAAGAGTTCCAGAACAGCAATCTACTGCGACCTGGGGCAGGCTTGCGCCCCCAGACCGCCGCTTCAATACTGGAGGTCCAACTCTTGATGGTATCAACATCATAGTGGTGAAAAGCTCCTGTCCATGCAAACAAAGAGATCACCAACTGTCCCAGCAAGGTCTTGCGGGTGCCCAAACGTTTCGCTGCCAACCTGATTTTGCGACACCTCTCCTGAATGTCAAAGGAAAGCTTCTCTGCATTAACACAAGCACCTGCACGCTCCAAATTGTACTGAATACCCAGAAGCGTGAACTTGCTGCAAGGAGCCCCCAACACGTCCTGTATCTGTGACAGCTGAGGCGTCAAATGTTGCTTGGTTGTGAAACTATTTAACTTGAAGGGAGTGGTTGTTGTTGTTGTTGTAAGCGGACGTCAACCTGCTCCTCACCGAAGTGAAGTAGTTAAGACGCCATAGTATGCCATCTGCGAGAATCAAGTTCCCATACTTCTCCAAGCAAAACTCAAAGGAAGCGAAACCTGCCTGAAAAAAAGAAGTAAACACAGTGCGCCAGCTAGCATTCCGCAAGGAATGTTTGTTGATCAAGTACGACTTGCCAAAAAGGTAAAGTCCGTAGCCTCTGCAGACGCCAAACTGCTGCAGCCCAAGCCACGGCTCGCTGATGTCGCTGCACAGCCGCAGCGATCATGGAGCGTGAGTCACGCAACACCTCACATGCCTGAGCATCGGCTGTCGCATTGAGAACGCGGCAGAGATGAACATCAATCCAACCATCTGGTGGTGTCCAGTCAGGCACCTTGTTGTGAGAAGGGATCCAAGTGCAAACAGTGCCCTGAATCAATAAGCCGCTGATCCGCTGCCAGAAAAGCGGCAAGTCACCCTCCCAACGGCCAGTGCTAATGCCTCGCTGAAGCCGCCGCACCAAAGCCTGATTGTCAATCAAGAGCATCACCGGTCTGTTAGCTGCAGAAGAGGCTAAACAAGCTTGCAGAAGAGCAGCACGCTCACCTGCAGCAGGTGTTTGCTCAAAACCAGTCACGGCACCTTGAACAGTGGTGCCTGAAAGTGTCGAAACCGCCCAGCTAGCTCTTTGCCATCGATCACAGGAAGTAGCTATGATACAACTGCCGTCCAAGCCCAAGGTGGGTCGCTGAAGAGGATCGAATTGCTGAATAAAAGTAACCAAAGCAGGATCTGCAACCATGTTGGAAAAAGGCAACACAGGAGGAGCATCCACAAGTGGAACCAGCAAACGACGTTCAGTAGCGCTCCTGAACTCACCATCCCATGGCTGCGCTTGGCAGTGAAAAGTGAGATGTTCTCGATCAGGAGACCGCAATCCACATTCACAACTCAAAGCAGAACCAAAGCGCTCTGTGACCCTGCCATCCACTGCAGCACCAGTCAAAACCCTGCGACTGTAGTAATCCATGCCTAAAGCTGCATTTGCCTGAAAAAGGAAAACCGGCTCCTTGCCGTTTGGCCATCGACCATCCGTTTTGGTGTCTTTAGTCCACAAACCAACGAGCCATGAATGGATAGCGGCTTTTTGCAAGCTTTTCAAAGACATCCACCCAGGTTTCAAAATCCCAGCAGGCGTGTGCCACAGGCCCTCGTCAAGTCGCCATTTCCAATCTTTGAGCACTGCTTTCCAGCGAGGAGCAGGCGAGGTAGCTGCAGGCAACCCTTGGGCACGGCGGCATTGCCGATTCCATTCCGCCCGGGCGGCGGTGAACTGGAGCGCAAACATCGGATGTAGTCTTGCAGAACCCAAAGAATTCCAAAAGAGCAGCCGGCTCCTACCTGGAGGAGCCCTTCGACCCCAAAGTGCAGTTTCGATCATAGATGTCCATGTTCGAATGGTTCTTGCACTGAAGTGATGAAAAGCACCGGACCAAGCAAATAAAGATATCACCAACTTATGCACCAATGCAATGCGAGTGCCTAAGTGCTGTGCTGCCAAACGAATTTTGAGACATCGTCGCTGAATGTTGTCACTGACAATATCCGCATCAACACAAGAACTGGGGCGTGACAAATTGTATTGAATGCCAAGCAGTGTGAAAGTATCCGCAGGTACACCTACTAAATCTTTCTTCTTGCGCACCTTCGCAACCAGATGCGGTTTGGTGGCGAAGCTAGCCAATTTGTCAGGGTGAAGTTCGAAGCCGAGAATAGCATCGGCTTGCGCTCCCGCAGTCATGGCGTTGATGACCACTTCAAAACTTTGACAACCTTGTTTCCACATGGTGCGATCGTCCAAATAAATAGCCAAAGAAATCCTTGGTTCCTGCCGTTTGACAAACCTCACCCAAACTGTCATCAAAGCGTTCAGTAGCGCAGGGCTGGCTGGACAGCCTTGCAACAAACCCCGTTGAGCAATAACCGGATGAGGGTGATAAGAACCTTGCCAAGCAAACCAACGACGCTGTTCACTGTAAAAATCAGCGAGTAAATCACAAATTGATGAGGGAGCACCGAACCATCGCCACACTTTAATGGCTGTCTGAGGGCAAACTGAATCAAAACACTTGCGAACATCAGCTTTGCACCCGACCAAATCGACACGAGACTGCTTTGCCGTGCTGACAGCTTCGTAGAAACGTTCATGGACTTCCATGATGCCCTTGCCTGGTAGACCACCAAAAAGTTCGGGCGAAGCCCATTCAGCAATCCAAGGCTGTAATTTTTTCAGAGTGGCACTCATGCAAATACGCCACAGGACAGTGACAATGGCTAAAGGGCGCATGCCACCAGTAGCTTTTGGTAACAAAGCAATTCTAACATCTTTCCACATCGCAGGAACACAGCCATGTCGCAAGCAAGCATCCCAAAGAGCACCGACCTGATCCCAAAAAACAATGGGAAGATTGCACAAATGGAGAGCTGTCCAGGCATCCATGCCCGGAGCCTTGTCCTTCGCTTTGAGCGCAATCCGAACCAATTCAGAACCACTAACCTGAATACAGTCATCCGGCAATGGATCGCTTGCAGAGCCAATCTGAGAGTACAACTGGTCCCCCAGATTCAAATTCGGAAGCGACCCTGGATTCCAATACCTCTCCCAATCCAATGCTGCGCACTTGGCCCTATCTGCAGGTAGAATGGGGCCATCAAAACTTGCAGTAGGACTGGCGGGCGGCACCTGTTTGACCCACCTGCCTAGTTTGGTGGCATTTTCCTGCACGCTGTCCTTCCACGCCTCCAAGCGTAACTTGGACGCTGCTGTAGCTTCTGCATTTGCCAATTCTAGCACTGCACTAACCAACCTGGGGTCATCCAAAGAGAAAAAAGCCAAAGAATGATGTAAATGAGGGCCATCACGCACTGCACTAACCAACCTGGGGTCATCCAAAGAGAAAAAAGCCAAAGAATGATGTAAATGAGGGCCATCACGAACCACCTTCTTCTCCAACTCTGGCAACGGGGCCTTTTGGTACTCCACCACTCTTCGTGCGAAGCGTCTGAGCTTGCGCTCTTTCACTGTTTGCAAAGAAGGCGCTTTTGAAGACGGAGGACTGGCAATTTCACATACTTCTTCCTAAGCACTTAGCCAAGAAGCTTCAGCGACCTTTTCAGAATGCAAAGGGGCACCAACTGGGAGAGTCCACGGTGTGGATAATGAACCAGGCACATGCAAGTTGTAACCCACCGCGTCATGGTCAGCCACGCCAAGATGTTGCTCCCTACCAGTAATAATTAACCGAGGAGTGCACAAGCCATAGTCAATGACCACACCTGTATAAACACCTGCAGCAGTTCGATGTGTACCACCTAAAACACGATCTCCGCAAACCAGCTCATCACAGGACCGCCACTGTCCAGTAGCCAAAACGTTAGAAATTGGCCAACAATGAATTTCCAAATTGAAGTCACCCATGATCACTGTATCTTCACCACAAGTAGCAACAAACTCGAACAGCGCACCAAGCGCACGGCTGGCAGCTGTGCGATCTGAAGCATGTAAGTAAACATTGATGAGAATCAACGGCCTTTGCTGAGGTCTATAGAGTTTGACGGCCATGGATCTTTCCACAGACACCATGTCGACAGGAAGGGCCAAGGCCTCAGCAGGCCACTTTGTTAGAACCAATGTCCCACCTTCCACTACATTTTTCGAATTTCTTCCTTGAGGGCCAGGAAAAAGTTGCCACCCGCGTGCCTTGACGGCACGAGTCACAGCATTCCAGCTGTGACTGTTAACTCTAGTTTCTTGAAGACACAGAACATGTAAATTCTGGAGCTGAGCAAAGTCAAGCACACCACCCAAGCGGCCTCCCAAGGACCGTACATTCATAGTCCCCAACCGCATAGTGCTGTCAGAGCCCGTCATGGGTTCTGATCCACAGCGCCATCCTGCTGCAATCCCAAAATGTCCAAAGCTCGCGAAGCAGCTCGCTGTCTGGCACTTGGAGCCTGAGCCGCAAGAGGCACCAAAATATCCCTTTGGCCCTTTCGAAACTTAGTCCAAACCATTTTACGAGGACACTGACTTCCTGTAAGCCGTCTGATGTTGTTGACACAACGCTTGCAATGCACACAAGCAAAACGCACCGTAAAATTGGCAGGCCACACAATGGCCTCAATCTGATGCGTGCTGTCTGCTGCAGTATCAGTGGTGCGAAATGCTCCAGAGTCGATGATTTCCAAAACTGTGCGGGCACCCTTCTTGAGGTCATCGCTGATGTCTGCATTTTTGAGGCACGCACGCAATCTTTCCACCAACTGCTTTCGTTTGGGCCCTTTGCTGGAAGCATACTGTTCACAAGCAATCTTTGCCAAACGCTTCGCTGTCAAAGCCATACTGCCACAAGTTTTGCAAATGACGTAAGACATTCCAACTCTTTTCTGTTTGCCATTTCCTGTGGCTGGAATGGTAACGAAAGTGGGGTCATGTGCTCCAGCATCGCCACGCTTGAAGCCAAGCAACCTTCGAGCCACTGCAGCTGCACGCACCTGGCGCGTGGCTTTGCTAGCATTCTCCCGTCTGAAGCTGCTGTCCTTGTGGAAGAGCTTGGCATCAGCCTGAGGATGTTTGTCTTCCCTATGCTTGCGGATGACGCTGTACACTTGGCCAGGTTTGAGGTTGTGATCAGCGGACAAGCCAAGTTTGCAAACAGGACACTTCCAGCTATAGACTCCTCCCTTCTTGACCGCAGACAGCGCAGGCAACGTGTTTTTGAAGCCGATTTTCAACTGTTCCTTCTCATCGGGATGCCAAGCATTGATATGAGCTCTCTTCTTGTCAACCCATTGAAGGGAGTGGCATCCCGGTCCAAGATCAGCACGACCCCAACGGCCAGCTTCATGGCCTTGTAGAAGGATGTCCCACGTGGGTTCGCCGAGATCTCGTCCTGGCGAGCACTTCTTGGATTTTTTGCTGCAGGAACCCCCCCCAAAAAAGTAGATTGGATTCAATAGGTAGTGGATTTTGGAATGGGAACATAGAAAAGAGACATCTTCATCGAAACTTGAGGCCCCGGCAAGGTGAACGAAAGCTAAAGCTAAAGGTCATACGAATGTGGAAATAGGTGAGCGGAACTTGGAAACATGCAGGGAAGTGCAGACGATACTCAACCACAGGGAAGGAGTCAAGATGGTTGCAAAGAATTGTGTAATGTCCAGCTTTCAATCGTAGAACATGTGAAGCAAAGAACATGGTTACTGAAAAAAGCTGGGGCCTTATCCAGAAGTGTAATTTTTGATGGGGCTAAAATCCTCAACTGTTGATCCGAGTCACAAAGAATTCTATTGGGCCCACTGCCAAATTGTTAGAAGCTCTGGCGAGCTTGGAAAGTCTCAACCAAAGAAGATTGGTAAGCGACAAAGTTCGGGCCCCATCCAAAATTGTAATTTTTGATGGGGCTCAAATCTACACAGTGTTGACCTGAGTCAGAAAGAACTCTAGCGAGCATAGTGTTCTGGTGAGGCATCTTGCGCAAGAGTTCCATCCGAACAACATGCAATCTTCCGTTGCAAGTCGTAAAAATCTGAACCAAAGAAGATGGTGACTCTATAAAGTTTGGGCCCCATCCAAAATTACAATTTTCGATGGGGCTCAAATCTACACAGTGCTGACCGAAGTGAGAAAGAACTCTATCGAGCCTAATGTTCTGGCGAAGCATCTTGCACAACAGTTCCATCCGAACAACATGCAATCTTCCGTCGCAAGTCGTAAAACATGTGAACCAAAGAAGAAGGTGACTCTATAAAGTTTGGGCCCCACCCAAATTGTAATGTTTGATGCGGCTCAAGTCTACACAGTGTTGACCTGAGTCAGAAAGAACTCTATCGAGCCCAATGTTCTGGTGAGGCATCTTACGCAAGAGTTCCATCCGAACAACATGTAATCTTCCGTTGCAAGTCGTAAAACATCCTAGGAGATGATGACTCTATAAAGTTTGGGCCCCATCCAAAACTGTAATTTTTGATGGGGCCCAAATCTACACAGTGTTGACCTGAGTCAGACAGAACTCTAGAGCCCAAGGTTCTAGTGAGGCATCGCGCACAAGAGTTCCATCCGAACAACATGTAATCTTCTGTCGCCAGTCGTAAAACATGTGAACCAAAGAAGAAGGTGACTCTATAAAGTTTGGGCCCCACCCAAATTGTAATGTTTGATGCGGCTCAAGTCTACACAGTGTTGACCTGAGTCAGAAAGAACTCTATCGAGCCTAATGTTCTGGTGAGGTATCTTGCGCAAGAGTTCCATCCGAACAACGTGCAATCTTCCGTTGCAAGTCGTAAAACATCTCAACAAACGAAGATGGTGACTCTATAAAGTTTGTGCCCCATCCAAAATTGTAATTTTTGATGGGGCTCAAATCTACACAGTGTTGACCTGAGTCAGAAAGAACTCTATCGAGCCTAATGTTCTGGTGAGGTATCTTGCGCAAGAGTTCCATCCGAACAACATGTAATCTTCCGCTGCAAGTCGTAATACATGTGAACCAAAGAAGATGGTGACTCTATAAATAAAGTTTGCGTCTCATGAGATAGGATGCCTGTCCAGATCTCTTTTTTTCACCACCTTGTTTTTGTTGTTGAGCAGCTGCGGCACGTTTCGGCTGGCGCCAACTGGACAGCACATAAACTCAACAAATCATGAGCTAGAGAGTTACAGAGGGACGGCCCTGGCAGGATTTGAGCCCGTGACCATCTGCTTCCGAGACTGCTTCAAAATGCCCCGGGAGCTTAGGGGGGGTTCAAGTGAAAAATCACTGTGTTGGACTCAGACCTGCCCCTCCCCTTGCTGAAGGAAGAGTAACTCAGCTAGCTACCGCTAGTTTTCGTGACCATGATTTGGGATTGAATCCAAACTTTAAATCGCCAAAGCCATGAGATGTCATGAGCACAGCACTCCTGCAGCTTGTGTTGATTATTTGCGTACGCACAGACCCAGTATGCTAGTCCCACGGCATTCCGCAGTTCCGCGTGCTGGCGCAGGCAAGCAACAAAGCGACACACGGCTTCTTGCCACGCATGGCTCACAAACCAACACGGGAACTGCGTTTCTGCGTCTGTGGCAACGAGCTCCACGAAGCTGCACCTGTACCGCAGGGTAGCTGGCTTTATGACCCAATGAGATGTGTGGTAGAGGTTGAAGGTCTGCAGCTCCAACGGCTGTTCAAAGTTTGGGCTGCCAGAGTACCTGGGGTTTGACAAAGCTACAGTACGGAGCGAAAGCTGAACTTGAAACAAAGAAAACTACATGAACTTGGCAGCTGTGGATATGCCTGAAAGCAACAACTAGGACCAGCTAGAACCAACTCCACTTATGTCAAGGAACGTCTCCACCCAGAGGTGCGCATGGTCACGGATGAAATCCACCAGCTGCGACAGCTGCTTCAAGCTGATACCACGGCATTCCGTTTGTGGGACGTTGATCGCACGGCTGCCTAAGGTATCGTAGCTCACCAAGGTATACCTCAGTTTCCCATGTCCCAACCTGGAGGAGTAGCGTAGCTGTCGAAGACACGACACGTCACCAGTCCAGCAGTGCAGTATACGTCTTCGAAACCAAGCAACGCAGCAGCTTCCAGGGCAGTGCCTGGTTTTAAATGTTGGACACCCTGGGAAAGCACGGCATTCTTCCAGCCACCTGAGATTCGGACATCCCCAATTGAGCAGTCAGAAAAGCCTGTTTGGGAAACTGTCACGAGCTGGTTGATAACATCTAAGAATCAATGGCATGAGCCCCTTCATGACTGATGAAAACCCCCCATGACGTTTGAAATGGCTCACCTGGCTGCATCTTTTGCGCAGCGCAAATGGCATCTTCCACAGTCGCGGGCAGTGGGCATGGGATCACGCCCGATGCGCCGGCGCCACCGGGGACGGTGACGGCAGCTGCGGCCATAAAATTCCAAGGAAATCCAGCAATTGAAAAACTAAGCAGCTGAACACCTTGAATTAAATCCACGGGTTTCAGACTATGACCGAGACCCTTCCCGGAGGTCCCCACCAAGAGGCAGATGCAAGTGCACCTTTTCACTCCAAGTTGGGCTCGGTAAATTGAGCCAGTCAGTTGATTGGCCCTTGAGCCTTGAGCCTTAGTTGCAACAGTCGGAGGACGTCTCAACGACTGTGAAAACTTTAAAAAGACCTTAGTGGGGGTGCAGTGGTACTCTGTGCATGTTTCCCAAACCGCACTCCCCCTTCCTGCTTGCAGGAATCCAGGTTCCCCAACACCAAAAACAAAAGCTTCAGGGGTGGCCACGTTTCCTCTGGGAACTCGCCCTTCCCCCAGCCAGAAGGGCGAAGACCCTCGTGTGCCATAGTCCCAGGCTGGTGTTGGTTCCCCCTTCATCCAAGGGTCGCGTGGAGTTCCACTTCGGGTTGACTCCAAAAATTGAAAAACTACAGCCCTAACTTCGTAGGTTTTGAATTCCCTCTCTCACCAGCGCTGTCCTCGAAGAGCGCCCAACGGTGTTCTTTGGGTCCAGCAGCTGATGAGCTTTTCCCTGTATTGGTCTTTTCCACCGGCAGCTAATGATCTTTTCCTTGGGTCTTGATGATCTTTTTCCTCAGCCACCGATGTACTTTTCCCTGCGATCTATTCCTTTTTGGTTCTTCTTTTTCTCTTTCTTTTTCGGTTCCCACTTGCAATAGGATCCGGGCTTCTTTTTCCTTCTGATCGCCTTGAGTTCCCATTGGTTGCGGAGCTATCCCTTTTGAGGGTTTGCCATGAAGTTGTATTTCACCCATCTTAACCACACTCCCCAAAACTTCCATCCCTTGAGCTGCCACATGATCCCTCAACTCTGTGGGACCCGACCTTGAAGCCTCTTCTGCAGCTCGATGTTCTTTTCGATTGGACCTGGCACAATCCAAGTCCCAAGGTTTCTCTTGTCCATCACCCAGGATGGTCTTAGGGATGGGTTCTTCTTTTTCATAACTGTGTAATTGGGCAACATGACCGTGATGATCTTGTACCCGCAAAACTTTCAAAACTGGTGGATTTTCATCCCAAAAATGAACCCTTTTTGGTTTTGAGTTACCCCTTTTGGTCTTATTACCCCGTTTTAGGATACCCCTAGGTTCTTCTTCTACAGGGTGTTCAACTTGTCCAGGAATGTTCTTCTTCTCCAAAAACGGTAAGACCGACTCCAACTGGAACCGATCCTTGACCACGGATTCAGTGACGCGATACGCATCAGCCAGTACTCGCACCAGCCTTCCAATGGCAGTGCTCAAGGCTTCATGCCGGAAATCGGCTAGTTCTGGATATTCCTCGGCCAGACCAACCACCTTTTTCACCACTGATACGCACCGACCAGCGATATCTCGGTAGTTGTCCCAGGAGGAAGTCTCCTGGTCTGGTTCTTCTGGACGTTGTTCTTCTCCCAGAGGTTGTTCTTCACGATGGTTGGACCCCATTGATGTTTCCTCATTTGGAACCCCGGAACCTTGGTGATTGACGAACCTCCAGAACCTTTCCCAACTGGGCTTCACAGCGATGATCTTCGTCAGGAAATCGGCCACAAGTTTTACCCCTGGAAGGTGACGGATGATCCAACTACCATCCTTTAACCTTTCCCTTAGGGCTGTTGCTCGCAACCGCAAGTGGCGAGTCCTCCACGGACCGTCAGGATTTTCCAAGATGGCTATTGCAGCCGTGTTGTCTCCGTAGATGATCTTCTGCCCGATTTTCCGTCCTTCCACGACCTCTATGAGAGACGCCAGAGAGTCTCCCATGACCATGGATTCCAAGTAGGACATCAGTTCCCCTTCGGCGGTGCTCAACACCACAAAAGCTTGACGGCTGGCTTCCCATTGAACCAACCCTCCACCATAAAAACCTAGGATACCCTGCAGTGACCTTTCACCCGCAGGGGCAAATGAAATGTCCGAGAACATTCTCGACTTGCTGCATCTCCCGGTGAAATGGCAGGTCATCTTCGGGACCACGATCATCACTTGTGCAAACCCCATAGCTGAGATGTTGAGTTTCGGTTCCCTTCAGGTAACCAAACACCTGTTGTGCGGTTTTCACCACCCATTTGGGCCGTTTGTTCACCTGTCTTCCCAATTGGCTGACGGCGAAACTGATATCCGGCCTTGTCCTTATGGACAACCACAACAACTCGCCCACCACCGTTTGAGCTTGTCGGATGTTTTCAAGTGCTGGTTGTTCTTCTTCCGGAAGTTCGGCATCCGCTTTCGTCATCGGAACCGGTCTTGGGTGTTCTACTTGATGTCGATTCAACAGATCCCGAGTGTAGGACTGCTGTCCCACTTTCAACTTCTTTTGATCCCCTTGACCGCTCCATTGGAGCTCGAACCCACAAAATCGAACCCAGCCTTCGTGATCAACTTCTTCAGGAGTGGAGCAAGTCCATTCTTCCTTCAGCCTCTTCAAGAAGCTGTGTTTGGCGTGAGGTTCCGCAAGAACCATAAGATCGTCCACATAGACGACCACCAAACCCACTTGCCGATATCCATCAGGACGTACTTCTTCTCCCGGAGCGTCACCACCTTTACACAGGATTCTCCACAAATTTCCTTCCGGCGTTTGTTCCAGCTTGTACTCCTTCTGCATCTCCCCCGGGCTTGCATCTCCCTGCCATGTGAACCGCCGCATTGTTTGGTCGCGGTACACTGCCCAATGGGCAGGACTGGATTGAAACCCATACAGGGCTTTGTCGACAAGCCAGACCTCATCCGGTTGGGTAATCCCAAAATCAGTCATGATCCTGGGCGGCACCACCGCCACGGTTTTGGCACCTTGTTCCACCGGCCGAGGAGCCAGTAGAAAAGCGGTCTTGATGTCCGTCGTGGCTACATCCCATTGGTGATGAGCTGCCTTTCGCAATGCACACCTTATCAGAACCCCGTCCGCTCCACTGGCATACAGCAGAGAGGAAGGCATGGGATCCGCTTCCGGTGATGCCAAGTTGCCGCAGATCACAGCGCGACATTTGTATCTCCCTCCAGCCTTGATCACACAGACCAATTTCCCCGGCACCAATTCGGCTTCAGGGTCAATCTCGGACCTTTTGACTGGTCGGATAGCTTTTGTTTCTGCAGTCAAGGATTTGTACTCGGCGAGCATCGAGTCGTACCATTTTTCCTTTTCCATCCTCACCTTGTGGAGAGGGACTGTAACAGTTTGAAGTTGTTCTTCTCCACCGCTACCATCAGCTTGTGCTGAACAGACCCTTAGTTGGCACACTCGCCTTTCCTCTTCCATCCTTGCAGTTGTTACAGCTTCCAGTTCTTCTTCCAAATCTTCACGATGTTCTTGTAGAAGTCGTAGAACTTGTCCCTGTATGAAACCGTTTGTGGGATCCACTGGAACATTCGACAGTTCTTCCCTAATGGCTTCCACAACTCCAAGGTGTTGATCTTCTTTGACCTTCAACAGGTGTGTCAAGCTAACGTTTCTGACGATGAACTCCCCCGAGGTTGGACTTCTTTCGATGTGCTTCTCCCCCGAGTCTGGACCATCTTGTGCAGAAACCCTTGAAACTTTGATTTTTTCACTTTTGAAAAGGTTACCGGGCTCCCCCCCTGCTGACACTTCAGCAGGCTCTACTTTCATTTTTGAGATTTCCGGCCCAAGGCTGTCAATCTCTTCCACAGGAGCTTCCGGATCTTCTCGGTTGAGTTCTTCATAAAGCAAGTCGATTTCATCAGGCTCTTCATCTGCTTCGAGCATTTCGCTCGGTTCGTATGGCTCTGAATCTTCAGGTGGTGATTCGTCAGGAGGTGGTAGCGGAGCGTCCCCAATGGTTGGCGGCAACCTCATGACACCTTCTGGCGGCGTCTTGGAGTAAAGCCGTCTGTGAGGCCTTTCAGGATTGTCTTCTATCTCCAACCTGATGCGGACCCGCTCCCCTTCCTCACTCGGAACAACCACTTCTCGAGCATGAACCACCTTTCCATCTTTCTGTTGGACTACCCAACCCGAGAACATCATTGGACTCGGACACAGTAGGCGTCCTTCTGTGTATGGAGACGGAATCGCCCCCTTTTTGAACCATCTTTTTGACCGAACCAAGACGTTGGCCCTGAAGGGCAGCATTGACAGTACGGGCACCCCCAGTTTCTCCAACTGTTGCCTCATTCGTTCTTCAGCACAATACCTCATGGCTTGAGGCCAGTCGGTCACCTCACTTCCTGCCACGCGGAGATACAGACGGGTTCGCCTTTTAAGCTGATTGACCTCTGATTCCACATGGCCGTTTGAGGCCGGGTCGTCTCCCTCCGTCATGCTCTGTCTTATAAGGCGCTCTGAGCACCATTTTTCAACCTTTTTTGACAGTAGCTCTTTAGCCCGATCACTATGCAGACGGTTGATCTTGATACCCATCGTGTTGAACTTCGCGATGCATTTTCCCAGGGCGACTAGGATTTCACTCACATGCCTTGACCCCAGAAGTTCCACCAATGTCACGTGCCGTACATTGAACGGCTGCTTGGATTCTTCTACCAACCTTTTGACTTCTTCCGTCATCGGGTCGGGATCTCCTTTTTCTTCCTTTCCACTGTTATCCTTCTCCCCCGACTCTGGAAGTTGATGATCTTCTCCACCAAGCGGGCAATCTCCCTCTTCGAGACCATCCCCCCACGAGGGTTCCAGAATTTTAGGTTTCCCCTTTTCTGGGGATTCTTCACATGGCATCACGATGTCCCTCGATGGAGCCTGATCTTGTGGTTCTTTCGGTCGATCTTCATCTTCTCCTCCAGTTTTGGTGATGTAATCCGGGACCAAGGCGGTGGCCACCATTGCATACTTCACCACATCCTTCCCAGAGGATAAATCCCTGACCTTTGGAAAGGGTCCCACGATGTCCACGCTCATCGCCCATGACGACGTCGTAGCATCGCGTCTCCTCCGATGTGGAGACCTTGCAC